CCCCGTCCTCCATGCGGTAAATTTTGCAAATGGTTTTTCGACATCCTGCTATTATCGATACCTGGTGTTCTTCAGGGCCGAGAGTGATTTACAATTATTTACTTTGAAACATATCTTTGTACTAAGCTGCCGCTGAACTGCAACTACACCAGTCACTGCATGAAAAGTAGAATTCATGGGTTTTCCTTACAAAAATGATCAGAAAACTGCATTAAAAATATTTGCATCTTAACTGTGAGGTCTTAATAGTAATAGCGTGGGATAATAAATTTTAGCGATAGCAGCATAGCAAAACCCAAGTCGGTAGAATTTCTAAGTCAACAAAGACAGTGACTCAGTATTTCAGAGGACAGACACCCTCTGAAAACCTCTCACACAATCAAGTCCTTTTTGAAAGAAATGGAGGCATGAAATATAATAACAGCTGCTACTTTGTCACCTTTGACCTCCAGCCTTTAGATTTCTATGGAGCATGAGCCAAACACATCAAACACGCAAAAAAAAGAAAAAAAAAAGAAAGTGCAATGGCTGATCTTCTTTGAATACTAATTCCTTCTAATAAATGTTACTGCTTCTTTGACCTCATATATGCCTAAACAATAAATCTGTGAGATAAAACACATTTTCACATACGGCCATCTTTTACTTTGTGTTGAGATTTCTCAACGCTTTCTGTCATTCGCCACATTCAGAACTTTCAGAACAAACACAAAGAGCTGAGACAAAGACGTGACTTTGTATGCCTTCTGTGTGTTCCCTTTTACACAAGAAAAGTAACCAACGTGGGGGCAATGGCAACAGGGAAGAATGAAACAGGACAACAGATGTCGTTTGGCCACCTTAGCCCTGGCCCTTTGGCTCTCTGAAGTGATGAGCTGTGTTTGCACACATCAGAGCCAAGGGCACCTGCCTGAAAGAGAATTTTTTTTTTAAAAAAAGGTCCGCTTTTAAAAAAAATGTTCTTTTTTCCCCTCTGTTGCTAAAGGAGTGGAGCATAGGGAGGCGGCAGTGTTTTTCTCAGAACTCTGATTTGAAATAACCGTACAAGGTTTTAACCCGGGCTGCGGCTATTCATTGGTGTCCCTTTCGACATAAAGACAAGCATATTCCAGAATCAGGAAATGAATAATAAGAAAGTACTACTTAGGCAACGAAATGAATAGGGTTACAGAAATGTGCTGGAGCTTCCTGGCAACCTTTTTATTTATTTAAGTCATCTATTGAATAATGGCTTGCGTCAGACATCTATGCATAAAAACTCAAAAGGGTCAAAGAAGTCTGTCGTTGCTTATGTTATTTCAGCATCATGCTGGAATAAGTAATGCAACTACAAGAGGAAAATCTCTTGAGATGGTAGGGTTGTATTCTGAGAGAATAATGCATTCCACTGTGGCTTCAGTAAACACATTTCTCATCCAGCACCGGCACAGAATCCCTATATTGTATACGAAAATGGAACAGATTCCCTGCTGTATCTGTAAAATATACAATATATCAGGTGGAACACTGTATCCGCACTGTCTGGATAGAAGAGCATCAGCAATAACAGGAGGAGAATTCATATCTAGTTTGCTGCAGGAGTTGAAGGGGAGACGGATGGATTTTGTTAGAGACTCGAGATGGAATTTACGTTAAAAAAAAAAAAAAAAAGAAACCTACCTATAAAGTTATAGTCATCAATATTTTCATGACATCACATCAGTCAGTCTTCTTTCCTAACGCTGGGCTTAAATCTTAAACAGTGGATTTAGCATCTTAGGAACAGATATGAGTGAGTTGTACTATGAGCACGAGTAGTTCAATGTTTTATAGCAGCTGTAAATTTGAGACTACAGAGGCTGCAGTGGATTTCGGGGGAGCAGTTGAAACTCTTTAGAATATTATTGTCTCTATTAAATTGAGGTATTAAAATGAGCTCTCTTGGATATATTTTATAATGATTTTTTTTTTTTACTCATCTTTCAGTGGCATCTGGGCATATTCTGCTTCTAACAGCAATGTGCTTTGATTTTTAAATTTGTCTTTTTTTTTTTTTTTTTAAACAATATTGCACTTTCTGTAATGTTATGTAAATAGAGCCCACTCTGCAATGACAATAATGGATGCAGGATGATGATGAGGAACGAGAGGTGGGGGTACACATCCTCTGAGCTTCATTTCCACTACACATTCATCCTGCCTAACCAGCAGACAGCCTGCCTGACTGCCTGCTGCTGGCTAGAGATGAGAGGGCTTCAATTCACCGGTATCAATCATACCATCATATATTACAGCCCCAGCAGTCAGTGCAGTGATGTGCCAGCCTGTGCGCACGTTTGCCCATTTCCAAATTTAGTACAAATAATTTCAACAATTTTAGCTATAATGCATTTCTGTCATAATAGGACACTGGCTGCAAGGATGGACCTGGACTTTTCATTGCTATTCAGAGCTTGTGTTATTCTCACACCAAAGGGGAAAATGAAGCACATATCTATTTCTACCGAGGTCTTTGTGTAACCATAGTACAGTTCACTATACACTGGATGCATGCAGCATCCCAATTCCCACTTGCTATGCTGCACTGGTACTGCTTTTGGGTCACAGTCCTTCTGTTGCAGTATCGGAGAGATCCATGTCTGAGTTTGTGTGATGGTATAACATAGTGGCTTCTAACCCTGAGTTAAAAACCTGTACAAGGTTTTACATTACTGGCAAAAGGAAAAACAAGAAGTACAATTCTGCCAAACAGATGTATAATTTATCTTAGATGGTTCTCTAATATTTTTCCATGTGAAATACTACCTCCCCCGAGCTGTAATTATTCAAATGGAACAAAACACGAGGAGAAATTCATTCCCTGATTGAAATGCTCAAAGATATGCAGCTCGTGGCGAGGTCACACCACAAATGGATGGGAACCAGTGGAGCGGTAGAGCCTGTAGACAGGACTCAATAGTTCCAAATTTTGCTCTCACAGTTGGATAATCTTGGTCAGGCAAGTGTGCAGTTTGATTTACAGGGGCCTTAAATGAATTTAAAGCGCTGTCCTTATTTCAAAGCACTGTGGGGAATTCATAGCTCACAGAACACTGATGAATAAAATTATCGACAAAAGCGAGAGTGACAAGTTTCTTTGCTGCCCGTTTGTGAGCTGGACTTCAGGCAATTTTTTCCCAACTTTCTTTTTCTATGATTGCCTATTGGATGATTTGGGTTTCAACATCTTACTCCAATTAATTTCAGACATCTGGGGTGTGCAATCAATTCGGATACAATAGTGAATCCAGCCAAAGCAGCATCAATCAATAGTTTTGCTACAAGTGAATCAAATGACAACGAAACCCACAGAGAATTATCACCCAGTTCAGCCACTCACTCTTTCAGTCTTTAGAGCAAACAATATCAGTGAGTGCTGTGTGACTGTCAGCTTGTTTGCTGTTATAACTGGAGAATGTAAAAAACACATCAGCAGACATAGAACAGTATTATCACTGGATTCATTTCTACTCTTTTTTCTTTAAGCTCAGTTTTTTGTCTTTACCAACTAATGATAAAAATGTTTACCCCCCTATGTTACCTACCTAGCTTTTAACTATCATTTTTATGTTTAGCAAAAAGCAGGTAGTGCAGAGTTGCTTTTTGGCACTTTTTTTTATGCCTGCTGTGGCTGAAAACAATGACAGAGCGCTAAAATAGAACTAAAACACGGAATTTGGGGATTGGCCCATGAAAAAATGTGAAGCTGAAGCTGATTATAAAGGTCTATAAAGGAAGTTCTAGTGCAAATTTTCAGTAACCTCATCAATTCGAGTGCTAATTTTTCAAACTTTTTATCATTTTCACATGGTCATATGACACGTTACTATAAGATATTTAATACAAATGCTTTAATTTTTCCTTTCTGCGAGAATGAATCCAGGAACCAACCGTCTGAGATTTAATGAAATGAGAAAATTAACTAAAAGTTGGATTGTCAGAGGAAAACAAAGCATGTCTGTCAAAATACAAGATAAACAAACAATTAGTATCTTTAATAATTTTATTAAAGTTGTTTTTCAGTCATTTGGTGGTGAACATTACCAAACCAAAGCACAACAGAAATATGAATATATGTGATTTTAGTATATACAGATGAAATAAACTCTACCATGATCAAAATAAATAAATAATACATTATATATATATACCTTTGTAACATAGTGATGCAATGAAATCTCCTCACAAAGTGTTAATTCTCTTACATGTGCACATGTTAAAAGATGTTTTTTTTTTTTTTTTTACTGAGACTGAGAATTCTTCTCAGGTTGAAGACGGAGGAGGTGCAACTAATACCTGAACACTAGTATATCGAGCAATAGATAGATGCCAGGGAAGGTGTAGTATTTTCAGTAATAGCTTTTTATTGGCATTTCTGTACACATGACAGGAGAAAAGCTAAATGAAAGAAAAAACTGTGCTACAATATCATACAGCATGTACAGCCAGGATGTGGCCACAGCAACATGCATGTTTAGGCTGCAGTAACCCTTTGTCTCCTCATCTCCTCCGCTTTTTCATCCCTAATTACTTGTATTCAACAGTAAACAATTCATCAAAAAGCACAAAACACTACTGGCATTGTAAGTTTCGTTCCAATTCGGGCTGCTCTAGTTGCCTACACTAGCGTCTTTTTGGTTGTTCTCCGCCGGCAAAAACATCAGACAAACACTGCAAGAGAAAGGAGGCCACATCACAAATGAGAGACGGGGATAGAAAATTCATAAAATGGCTTTTGCATTGCTGAGACTCAGTTATTTTCAAGTCTATAGATTGGCTATAGGGTGCAACTATCCCTTTTGATATAAGCAGCACAATAATGAGCAGTCAAAGACGGGAACTTTAAAAGATGCTGCTGGAGAATGCTGGATGACGCCATCGTCTCTGTCTCCTGTTGCTTTTAAACACATGGATGCCTTTTGAATTCTTCTGTGTGTGTGTGTATGTGTGTGTGTGTGTGTGTGTGTGTGTGTGTGTGTGTGTGTCTGAATGTGTGTGTGAGAGAGTGCATGTAGGTGGGTGGGTTGATGCGCCAGCGTGTCTTTGTCCGTGTGACAGTGTAGGCAGTAGATGTGACATTCTGGATTTAGTTGCTAGTTGTTAGTCATAATCCACCAGGAAGCTGAAGAGACACATACAGAGAGAAGGAGTTAGGTCACCTTAAACCAATGCACTGTGTAACTCGGGGCAACCGTGTACAACATTTGAAAATCACTATTCAAGGTTAGATTTCATTAAGCCCCAATGTTTCCTATTCATTACCCAGTTTATGTTATTTCCACCGGTCAAATGACAGATGTGTTTATGTCATTGAGGATGGAGGCAATTAAAAAAAAGTTGTTTAAAACATAAGGCTGTGTTTTGCGGTTTATAAACTGTCCTTATTTTTTTGTTAAAACTCGCAGGAGACAAAGCAAATGATTTTACAGTATGTATAACCTGATGACACACTCAAGCTCTAAACAGAGGGGTGCACGAGGAAACAAATAGGACACAGCCAGGCTTTCTTTGTATTGGCAACACACAAAACCCCAGTCAGACATAGTGGACGTCATGATGGTGGTTATCAACTTTTCAACCCAGTTTTTTTTTTTTATCAGGCTCTGACTGTACTCCAATAAAAAGAGGCATCGTAACAAAATGGACCCATCATATGTCGCCTTCTTCAGTCAGGAGGAACAGGTTGGTGTAATGACGAGCTATGAAGAATATAAAAATTTATTACAGTCAAAAACGCTGTTACTGCAAATGATGCAAGACAGGAGTGCTGGCAGAAAGCTGCTAATCATGTAAATCTATATATTTATTTCATGACTCTAAATGCAGCTAATTTACCAGCTGCACATTAGAGCTCTTAAACCTTGAACTTCATACATTTAAATGTGATAGTTAAAAAATGCATTTAGGTTTGACACTGTCGTATAGTCAAGGAAAGATGAAAATTATTTAAGTTTGTGACCAAATCAAAGTGACACTAATGTTACTGATTGAATATTCTCTATGATGAATACCAAATCATGTCCTAGTAGCTGCAGTACCAGCGGTGTAAAACAGAATTGATAGCAAATCAGGACCAAGAATAAAATATCTGTGGATTTTCTGCATCACCAGCTGAATGCATGTACGTTCCCATGGCAACAAACATACAGTTTGCCTTACTGCCACTATATGGCTTCATTCAGTGAAATTACTATCATACAGGTCAAGAGGTTTGCAGATATATAGTATTTCCTTAGCTGAGAATCTGTGTTGCATGTAAAGACTATCATAGGGACAAGAAACGGAGGAAGGAAGATGTTTCTCACAGTTGATTTAAATCCCAAACTCTGAACATGACTTCCTCTGCAGTTGGATAGGTGTGCAGTATAAGTTACCATGGTGATTTAGCCAGCTTAAAAGAGAGCCATCTTTGTGACATTGAAAACTCTGGCTTCAGGCACAAATTCCCTTGCTAACCCATTAATCTTGCTTTGAAGTACACCCCTAAAATTCATAGCGATAATCAAACAAAGCTTGACAGAATAACCGTGTCCATAAAACACCTGCCTGCTGGTGCAAAGGTCCTCCTGGAAAAAAATACAAAGGCCTTCTCCACTGACTGTCAGCGGGACAGAGAATAATAGCAGCTTCTAGGAGCAACAGAATGTTCCGTTATATATATTTTTCTATTATTGATTCTAGAGTCGACCTCTTTCTGCTCTTCTTCCATACGCCTCATAAACTGTCCTTCCTCCTCCTCCTAGTCAGAGCATCGCAAGAAACAGCTTAACAGTGATTTCACTAAGAATACTGCATTAATTAAAAATTAAAACTCACCAAAACACAGCGTTACAGCAGATAAAGCACCCGACATAAATATGGGGATGATATGATTTATCTTAAACTTAAACCAAAGACACTGGTTTGCATCTAGAGATGAGTCCTAAAATAATTGATGAGAAGCTCTCTTTACCCCAAGATGAATTAGTAAGAAAAGTTATAGTCATAGCAAATAAACAAGTTTATTTTGGTGGAACTTTTTCAAATAAATTTTATTTTATGTTCATAATTTTCATCCTGATTTAAGTTTAGACAGTTTCATGTAAACAAACATGGACCATATCTATTTAAGTTTCAAGGCTTCAATCAAATTAAATTGAAGCCTTGAAACTTACTCAGTTTGTTTTTCTTAATGTTCAACTCCGGCTCTGTTTTTATCAATTTTAGTTTTTTTACACCTGCTTTCTGGAATGACTCATACCCTATTCCTGGGTTTCTACCAAAACTGTTTAGTTTATGTCTGAAACAGCCAGCATGCATACATGCCAGTCACAGATGTGTAAGTAAACAACCACCTACAGTAACCTAGCAACAAGCACAACCCATGCAGCACCCACAGCTAAAGCACCATCTGCAATGGATGCAAGGAGGCTGAAATAATAATTAACACTATTGCTTTCTGAAACACACTACGAGTGGTGCCTGCAACAGATTGATGAAATTTCAAGGAGACAGAGAAGAGTCATCATTGTTGCCAGTGATTCATGCTCTGCTGTGAGTTGAGTCAGTGACGTGATGATGAGCAAAATAAAACGTGTGTGCGTCACATGGAAGTCACTTTGCCAAAGGTGGGGTTCCTATTTAATTTTATTTATTTATTTTCTCACTTACTGTATGAATGTGCCTGAAAGAAGGCAAGAAAAATGTTATTTTGTTACTTTTCTCTTTACACCTTTATATTACACACATACCTGTGTGAGGTGCAAAAATAGCTTTAAGTTTATGTAAAGAACAATTCTGATTCACATATAAATTTGTCGAATATTTGCACATGCACAATAAATGCCTGTTTGGAACCCTTTATGTTCAGCAACTTGAACTATTGTCAGGAGAAATTCTGGATATGTGCACAGTTTGGGATGGGAGATTTTAGAGCATCTTAACACAATCAAACCTAATTTCTTGCATACTAACTGTAGAAACCGATGGACAGTTTGGAATTTGAGGTAGTTATTGACAAGATGACCAAGGTTGAATAACACGTCATTAGGACATTTCCAAGTGACGCAGTTTGACATGGGTACTTGGGGCAAGCTAAATATACCACTTCATTTTTAGTTCCGCCGTCTGGCCAGGCTATTTTTTGAAAAGAAATTCTTCAAAAGAGCAACTGCTGGTGACACAGGGGGAGTAACTAGTCTCTGTTTGAGTGACCCAGCAAAGCATGATCACAGACGATCCTGACGGAATCAGAAGAATGACAGATCTTAGAAGAAATGGGCAAATGAGCAGATGGAAAAGCAAGAACTGCTAGCACCCTCTCAGCATGCAGTGGTGTGGGACTAATGTGCACATAATCACTTACGTGCCAAAACTGGACTCATGCTTCATAAAGGCACAATAGTAACCAGATCAAAAATGTCACAACGTGTGTGGATATTTGTCTGCACCACAAAAATCAAGCTGTTTGTGTTAGGATGACGCTTGCACACGTAAAGCAGATTTAAAGCTACAAAAAAAGACACAAAATAATCCTAAGGCAGGTAATATTACATACAACATACTCCACTGAGAGCTCAATGAGAGGCATTGTACGTAAATTACTTTCACAATTTTTGAAGTATGGCCATATCTTATAGATGCTGATCTCACCCTAAGCAGAGTTTGCAGGCCCTGGTGCGATAAAATAGCATCATTTATGATCTTGATGAAAATACAATAACAGCTATAATAATATGTGAAGGAATTTACAGACACACAGATACAAACCTGGGAGCAACATAGTAGATACTACTTCCGCATCCTCCAACATATCAATGATGCAGCGTTGGAAATCTTTACTGTCATTGGACTGAAGATAGCTAAAGAGACAAGGAAAGAAACAAAAATGAGGTACTTAGAGAAAATGAGACAGTTCGGAAGAAATCAGAACTGAGCATCACCTTAAATAACTTCTTTGCTGTGTTCTTGTTGAAACAGAGATTATCTCCGTAGATTTGCAGATTTTATGTTCATTGTTATTGTATGTGGACATTGGACGCATGTATATATGTGATGTATATTGTTTTATTTAGTGAGTAGTCTTTTTTTAAATCTTTAAATCTCTTGTTACTGAAAATCATTATTTTTGATATTTTTTTTGTTTTTAATCACTTGTTCTGAAAACACAACAGGTTTGCACAAAATGTTCTAAATGACAAGTTAATATATGCATTGATTTGTGTATGGCACACAGTAGATACCATTTTAAACCATTTAAGCTGCATCCCTGTGTGTGTTCGTGTGTGTGTGTGAGCAGAGAGATAGGCCATCTGCTCATCTTCACTGATGGGGAACATTTCCATCAAAAAACTTAAGAGTGCCAAACAGTCTGCCAATATCTGACGCACAAACACACACTCACAAACACACACGTACACACACATACACCGTACTGACCTCATCCAGGAGATGCGGTCTTGCCAGAACTCATACATTATGTAACACGACTTTCCCGGGAGCTTCTGAATGGACACACTGACAGCGAGATCGAGAAGAAAAAGTAGAGTGGGGCAAGAAGAGGATACAAAGTGAAAGGGAGTTCACACTCAGCAAGGATAAATTACAAGAAGAAGTTTGAATCTTTTGAGATATGTCAGAACTAGATTTGGAGAAAAGCAAGACAGCAACAGAGCAGTGAAAGGACTTGTTTTCATAGTGTCAATTTTTGAAACTAGTAAATAGGTATTATTGTGCAGCTGTATTTTTTCTCAAACTGCCCACAGTTTGGGGCCACACAAAAGCTGATACAATATCACAGGGTGATTGATGAGACACTGCGAAAATACTGGTATTTTTCGATTCTTTTTGCTCACTTGCATCCACTTTTGGCACAATTTTGGCTGACAACTCAAACTCCTGATTCAACATTGCTCAATACTCGAGAAGTTGCCACAGCAGCAGAGCCTGACGCAGTGCTTTAAAGATATATTGCTTTTCTTGGAAACTAGCACAACACTCACTGCAGGTTGTCAGAGTGAGCTGAGGTGGCATCGATGTAGCTCTTCAGAACTTTCCGGAAGTTGTCCAGATCATCATCAGTCACCGACATCTGCCTCTGAACCAGCAGGATGTTCTGTTTGCAGCGAGAGAAGAGACGTATACGTAGACCGGGGGGTGATGACAACAGATTTCTGTGTATATGTGTGTTGTGTACTTGTGTGTCTATCTTTGTGGGGACCAGCGTGAGTTTTAGGGCCTTGGGGGTGAAGACATCTGTGGAACTTGAGGACATTTTGGACAATCCTCACGTTCAAAGGGCTGTTAGTGGGTTAAGTTTGGCCTAGGATTAGGGAATTCAATATATCAATGGCAGTCCTCACAAAGATCAAAGTGAAAACTTGCATGTGTGTGAAGGGGCAAAAACTCACATCACTCCCTGAGATCTAGGTGTGTGTGCAGACATTGCCAAGATAAATACTTTTGAAGGGGAATTGATTCTGTAAATGTTGTGTCACTTATTCTGTCTCTCACCATATTTCAGAAATTGCTGTTTTGTTTGTCGGTGGAGCTGAAAGCCTAAGTGGAAACAGCTGCGGAAGGCAAGTTGGAAGCACTAAATGTGATGTGGATTTAGTGAAATTCAGAGGCTTCTCCTAAGTTCTGATGATCAAAAATAAAACAGCAAACTGAAGACATAGTTGAATACTAATACCAGACCTGCATTATAATACCTGTGTTGCTATGACACCTCACTGGTGTCTTTTAGACTAGTTTGACACTTTCTCCACACAGTAATGTACTGAAAATAGACACTGGTAGGCTTTTCCTTATCAAATGTGAACTTATAGTGAAACCAAACTCAAGTCTGTCAAGAATCTACTTTCCAAATCAATTGATGCATCTCTTAATGGAAGAAACGAAAAGACCCTTTAAAATAACGAGTAACAGTAAAATTATATATACATATATTTCTTTTATCAATCAATGTACCTGGCAAAAGAACAACTTCCCTGCAAAAAGCTGCAGTTCATCCAAGGCTTGAAATGATTTAGTCTCCCAATGCACCATATCACCATCCTGCCCTCTATACTTTACAAACAATTCACAGCTGCAGTGAGTCACTGCTGCAACTAAATAAAACTTGTGTTAGGGGCTCTGATGTAAGTTCTGATTCACAGACTTGAACCTGTCTCAAAGGGTCAGTTCACCAACATTACAAAAACAGTTTTGGCTGTATGTGTGATATAGGTTTAACTTTGACATCTCAGTTTAGCTTTTTGTATCCACTTTACTTTTGCGGTGGAGAATGAGATTCATTTTATAGTGCTCAAAATGTAAAAAGAAATTACATTTAAAAAATGGCTAAATTGCCTCAGTGAAAAGTTATATATAGATACCTTAATATGCAATATGAAAACATTCTGCATTCCCAATAAATAGAGAAAATATGTACTTCTGTACAACAGCTAAAAACAAACAAATCACTATTCAAATCCAATCTGAGTTAATACAATTTAGACTTATTCTAAACTGCCAAAACAAAACAGAAGGAGATGTCATGCTCTTTCTCCCATTTCTCCCATTTTCAATAGATACGCAAACATGCAAAAGCAGAATTCCACTTTACTAGCACTCTTATAAATAACTGTCACCATAGTTACCCATAACAACAGGCTACACTCTCACCTGTCTGTGGGTGATTTCAGCATTTGTACCTCTCAAGTGAATCATGAGTCAGTTATTTCTTTGGTCCATATGTGAACATGTCAAATGCACTTAGACCCAAAATAAGACAAGTGAAATTCAACACTCTCTTGTCTCAGTCTTAACATAAGCTCACTTGTGTCCACTTTCCATTTTATATATATTTTTGTTACCCTGAGGCTTATCACATACTTATTTTCATAACTGCACAGAGCTAAAGTGAACACATGACAACAAACAGAAATGCTGGTAAGTTGCGGTACTGTCATTTGGTTTGAGATGCAATTGAAATGCAATTTAGAATGAGAACAATGAACAAACTAAAATGAAAAAATACTGTTCTCTATAGAGGAAGACTGCTGAGAGCAGCTGAAAAGGACGTAATAGAATATGTGTCACCTTTTTGGAACATACTGTAGAAATGGAGAAATAATTTAAATAAAGTAATCACTGACTCCACTCCTTGTATTTATGTAGGGATACAGACAGGAGGGGTTCCCTGTATTGAGCTAAAACTCTAAAATGTGAAAACATCCTTAGCTGTAAAGGTTTAGCCATTTGAATCAGTAAATATGTACTTTAAAATTAATACTTACTCTCTGCACTTTGTTCTAAAATCAAGATACTAGTCTGCCAAAAACAGTTATCCTGTAAAATAATTCTGCTGCAGTGGCCTCAGGCAGAGAAGTGTCACATGTCAGTGTTAGAGTGCAAATGTTTCACCATATGGTTCGACCTTCAGTGTTTAATGACTGTGAAATGATGCCTGTGAAAATTATGGTTGGTTTATATGAAAAAAAATCTGGCATGAGCCTCTACAAACTGCATCCTATTTCTATTTATGAGTGAATGAGCATCACTAATCATAGCGTGAATTTTCAGCTGAAAATGTTGTATTCTAGAGACTAAAACATGCAGTGCCTAGCAGCTTGACCATTTACAGACAAAACTAATCAAATAATGATACTGCACTGGTTGAAAAAAAGCTTGCTGGCACAAAATTAATGTTTAGTCAGGGATTCACTCAGGTCAGTATTCCAGATGAAGTCCTGCTATCAGTGGTAACTTACAGACTTGTATGTTCCGGCCAGTGAATCCTCCTTGAGTGGCTCCAACTTAGGACTCTGGAAGAAAAAAGTAAGAAGAAAAGAAGTGTTTGGATTTGAAATATCTGGGTAACAATGATCAGATAGGGGAATGGGCTTAAAGCACTGCAAATAAAGCACTGAAGTTCTCTGTGAGGAAAACACTAAAAAAAATTAAGTATGCAGCAAAATAGTTCTTCTTTCTTTTCTTTCATTTTTTTCCCTATTTTTTATTATGTTACCAACAGAAATTTGCACACGTTTGAAATATATTCCACCAATCCATCTTCAAGCACTTTTCTGGCTCCAAATTGTGGAACAATATATTAGCATATAACAGGGATTTTAAGTTTTTTTTTTCTTAATCACAAGAACATGTATTTTTGAAATAATATGTCAGTAAGACACAAGGCAGCTATATATTCAATCTTTATCTAAACTTTATTTTTACAACCATTTTGCAGGTTATGTAAACCACTGTAGCTTGTAATACAGCAAACAGCACAGAAGATACACAATGAACAATAATACTGATTAATTGAACACGTTTGCTTACATTCACATTTGCTTTCAACAGAAATAAGATAAATAGGCTTTTTAATGGGTTCAAAAGGGGGGAAAACAATGTGTATTACAAACTGTATTGTACTGAGTTTTGTTCTTTTTGCTTTGCTGGTGAATACTATCTGATGTTTTTATGTGTGTAGTTTATCTTTTAATGCAATTTATTTTTTCCAAGATCTATTGTGTAAGACAGTTTGCCTGCGTGGAAATAAAGGTCACATTCATTCGTTCAAAAAGGTCATTGCAATTCTCATAGTAGAGCTAAAATGTGATGGCAGAGTAATGGATGAAATGAAATCAGTCATAGTTGCACGACAGAGAGTATATCAAAGATCTTTCAAAGTAAAACATGTTGACAGACATGTCATTGACCGCATACTGTTAATTTCTTCAAGGGGTTTTGTGAAGGTATCATGTTACAAATAATGAAATAATTTGAAAGTAATAACAGAGAAAGAGGTCTCCATCTTAAAGGTTATGTTCGGTGTGTGTGTGTGTGTTCGTACATAGGAAACATAACCTTTGAGGCAGAAAACTCATTCTGTTGCCTTTGAGAGAGCAGCAAATAAGAATAAGATGGACGGAAGGTGTGCGTGATGGTAGCAGCGTCGAGGTGTGGGGGATGGATATTGCACTCAGAAAATCCTGCAGGTTATGAATTGCTTTGATATTGCACTTTGAGTCCCTCTGGGTTGACAAAACAGAGGACTGGAGAGAGAAAAATGCTTTGAAAGGAAAGGAAGAATGAACATCAAAAGGCAGGAGTAACGGGAGTTAATAAAGGGAAGAACAGACAGAGAGGGAATGAGATGGAGCAGAAGATGGGGCAGGAGAGCGTGAAAGAGGCTCCGGGATGTGGTGGTGAGAATGGGTCACAGGATGAGTGATGGAGAGGTGACTGGGCTTTGTGTTTGACTGATACACAAATTTGTAGAACTCCATTTAGAAAAGCAGCATTTTTACATGATGTGAGTCCACCCATTTGTTCTTTTATATCACCACAAACACAGGTTGAACACAGAATTTAAAATACATGACATAGCCGACAACTAAGGAGACTTTTCACATCACTACTGAAACCATCTTGCCCTGATAGATAACACCTTGTCCATGAGATAATAATGAAAACACAAAACTAATCCAGTGAAATCCACGTTGTAAGGAATCTCGCCTCTTACATAAATGTAGCTCCATGGAGTTATGCACACTCTGCAGAGCTATTTGCGTAGTCCAACTCTGTACTTGTCATTATTCTTAATACTTTAATATTGCGTGCCCCAAAGAAACTCATGCATTAGGCGTTTCTATTTTGCATATTCTCTGCACAATTTGTCACAAATTGTTCAAGACTGAGTATGTGAAGAAAAAAAAGAAGGTGGAAAGCCTTAGATGTTTTATTATTTAACTTTTAGATTAATGCCATTACCTGCTCAAAAAGTTAAAAAGATTCATTGCTGATGATTGCTACATATCTGTATTCATAGAAATGCTAAGCATTCATTTAATCTATGGGTGATCACTGGCACCAGCGTTCTGCAATATAAAGGCTTTTTACTCACATTTTTTGTATCTTTTATTTAAATTTAAATTTAAATTATCTTATGAGCAATAAAAACAATATTTGTTGTATACTTATTTTCAAAAACAAGCAAACTGGTTCAGAGTTGAAAAGACTGAAAATAACTAAACTCTTGATGAGCTAATTTTGATAAAAGACAGAAAAGGAAACTTGTCTGAGCCCGAATAGCCGAATAGCCGACTATTCGTTCGCTGTGCTGGAATCGGGATATCAAACTGGATCTGCCGTCACAGCTAAACCTAAACACAGAAACTGCTCTGTGTAGTCAAATGCTACCTGTGCGTCGCGTCATGCTCACTCCAGCTCGTAGGAGCGCGTCCGACCCCCCCCCCCCGTCGACATAAAAAAGGTCACCGCGTGGCACCTCCGACTATTCAGGATGTTCGTTATTAATTGGGACCGAATGTCCAGAGATCAGAAATTGCTATTCGGACCAGCCCTACTACAAAGCAGACAAAATTTGCCAAACATATTGTTGTCCACATTAAAATACACAGAAAGAAACTTTCTTACCTGACACTCCAGTTTATCCAGAAGTTGCTGCAGCCTGTTGATCTGGGAGCACCAGTTCTCTCCACCTTCCATAGTGACACCTGTAGACAACCAATCACACACACACACAAAATCAATCACATATACTAAAGTTACTGTACATATATACATTGGAGTTGGGAAACAGCACACTTTTCTCTCTGTGTTCAAGCCTTTGATAGATGAAGGAAACCCCATCCAGTCATGTCCAAATAGATGTTTACTAAGAAAGGGCAAGGGCAAAAGCATATAGAGCAACATTTAAAAAAGGATGAAGGACTCAAGAACAAAACTATTCTTTCACTTGAGAATAACTGTCCTTCTTTGCAGGCTTATGATTTTATGTTCAATTTATCAATGTAAGTGAAGAAGAAATGAGTGAGGCTCAACATAGAGTAATTTTCTACAGAAAACGTCAATATGTTCTTTGTAGGTGAAAAACCTCTTGAGGTAAAGCATACTTGCTCTAAATATTCACATTACCAATGACAGCGATGGGAATCATCCATGTATACCCCACTGAACATAATATCTCTCAGTGGCTGGCAACTAAAAGTACATCTTTTTATTGATGTACTTTGGCAGTGATGCAAAACTAATAATAATGATGATGATGTCTGTGTATGTATGGTGTAATTCAGCAAGGTAGGCATACATAAACACATACATATATATATAATAAAAACAATAATTAATATTAGTTAATTAAAAGTCTTAACACATCAATAAGAACATTCTGAGTGATATGTACATTATAGTGAAAGTGTGCCGTTTTAGACAATTATTTAGACAATTTTTCAAATGTAAATGAGGTACAAATCAATGAGCTTCAGAGCCACCAATAGAGCAGGGAAGTGAGAAATTACCATGAGACTAACTAACGAGTTGTTAGTTTTGATGTTTTAGGTGTGTGAACATGCTAAGCACGTTGAAACACAACCACTTAGTCTACCGGAAAAACAACGCAGAATGAAGTGTTAGGGGATAAGCTGATTTCTGGTATTCCTTTCCTGTGCTTAGAATAACAAAAGCAGTTCAAAAACATCAGATTTCTAAAATGCAAAAAAATGCCACCTATCCAAGCCATTAATTGTCAAAACAGAAAAAAAAAAGATGGATTTTTAATTTTCCAACGGTTCTTGATCTTGGATGTCTGGTTCCATCTGGGGAAGTAACCAAATCTTAGCTTTAAAATCTCAATAGTATAAAAAAAAAACACTTTATTCTGCATGTTTTATTTACAAATTTGCCAAAAATAAAGTGTTTGGTCTGTTAAAAATGAAACAAATTTGTGTCACTTGGTGCAATCGAAAAGCTATTAGTGAATCATGTATGACCAGCAGTTACATTATGAAAATTTAGGGTCTTTTCAACTGAACTGTGCTAAACTGCAGACTGTGTTTGCACAAAGCAAATATATATATAGTACCTAGAGGTAATATTTTTTCCGGTATTGGTAACATATGTGGGTACTTGCAAAAATGTTGTACGTGTTGGTTGCAGTGGGTTCTTTTCAAAATTGGTAAAATAAATATTCAACTTTTGTCTTTTTAATGATTTATAGCATCATACCTATGTTATACTGTACATATGACATGTTTAAATTTTCTCCACTTTCAGTATGGTTGTGCTGGTTCCATAGGGGTTAAAGTCAAATAGCCTACAGTGAGAAAATTGGGGCATAAGCAAAAAAAACATTCAAGAAATGTTTGGGGTTCAGAGAGTTAAAAATAATTCCTCCTACCTGTGGTCAGGATGGCAGAGCAGGGATCGGATGGGGACATGCACAGGTTGTTATGGACCCTGCGACCACACCGCCTGCCGTTTCTCTGTACCGCTGTCAGCTCCGGTGCCTTTACCTCTCTCCTGCCATGACAGCGGTAGAGACCCAGGGAGACAAACATCAGAGAGAGAAAGACAGAAACTGTCAGAGGAATGTGGGAAAGAAAAACAGAAACTGAAGATGTGGCAGAGGGAGGTTAGTCACATGGGGAAAGAAGAACAGCATACAGAGTGAAAGAAAGGAGAAAATAGAGAAGATTGGGCAAAGAGCAATGCATGGAAAGAAAGGGAGGGAGGTGAAGAAGGATACATTAATAATTGATTTCAATCAGAAACTGAGATAGGTTAATGTGTGATAGAGGAGACAGTTGGTGGTGCACAGACACAACAACCACAGATGGAGCGCAAGTGTCCAGAATAGAGGTGAAAACACTTAGTGACAGGCCGGACAGACACCAGTGCTTATTACCCCACAGGCAGGGATTTAGGGAGGATGGACACTTGCACTTACACACTTACACAATCACAAACACACACTTTCTGTCGTAGATGGGAAAGTGTTTGCTGTGCTAAATGCTGAGTGTCAAGGGCAGGACGTCAAGCACTCTATGAGTGTGACACATGAGACATGTACTCAAACGGGTGCGTGAGTGTCGGCATACTTTTATTTCACTTGTGTGTGTTTGTGTGTGTGACTCCATGCGCCTAAATGCCTGTGCAGATTTGTTGTTGGTGTGTGCTCTCCTTCCTTTTGCTGTGTCTTTGTGTGTGCACGTGCTATTATGTGTGTGTATGTATGCGCAACATCACGCTGACTGCACAGAGGGAGCGCATTGCTAGGAGGTTCTCATGCTGAGAACAGCCTGGAGCCCAAAGGCCACTGCAACAGCCATAAATCCACTGCAGTGAAGCAAAGGAGAGAGAAATAAGCTGTTTGTTGCTTAATTCGGTGTGTCTCTAATTCTGCCACTCCCAGCACTCACACATTCACTTAGTCTTTCCAAAATCTATATCTGTTTGAACAATCTTGAAAGAGTCATTTGTGACCAAAAAGCTCCTCATCATGTCCCTTTGTGCACCTCCTCCTTTGTTTTTTGTTTTTTTTAAAATACATCTTAAGACTCTGCACCATTCTGTTATTTGTCTACCTCTTGAATTCATCTTTGCTTTCTCTGTGAATCAGTTTTTCTATATGTCATTGCCACTCTTATCAATCATTCTTCTCCTCCCCCTCTGCCTCCCCAGTCCCCTCTCAATAATTCACCTTGGCTATAATCGCCCTATTATTTCCAATAATACCAGTGTGGCACCCAGAGGGGAGAGAGGAGAGAGCTACTGAGCCCTGACGCATGCAGTTCAACAGACAATACCCAGCTGCAAGTTGTGCTACCAAACTGCTTAGCCATGAAAAATGTAGAACGCATCCTTGATATTTCAAATATAACAGTGAGTGGTTTGGAAATGTTTGAAAATGATCCGTAATTATCTTGACTTATGCTGGTAGATTTCTGCTCATTAAATGAACATGATGAAATGGGTTTTTTTTTTTCTTAACATCTTCCAGATTAGTTTTCATGCATCAAAGAAATGCAGAATCTGATTAATGCTAAAATCGTTAAGGTACAACTATCCAAATGTTACAGAGAGGAGTCTATAGTACATGTGTTGCATAACAAAAATTAGCAATCAGTTAATGCCTTTGCATACAATGACTCGTACTTTGTGATACCCAATTCCCAAATCAATGACAGCAGTTTAGATCTGCTTTTATTCTATAAGCTCCAATTGCTTTTAACGAAAGCCTTCCGGTCTTTGAGAGAAATTCTGAATTTCAAACAGCCTCCTTATTGGTGAGGTGACTGTTTGAATGACTGTGAGAATGTAGTAAATTCAAAGCTTGGTGCTGAAACAAAGACACTTGAGGTAGCACTGATTAGTAGAATTTCCTTACTGCTCAGATCAACCGATAACTTCACTGACATTTTCATTTTTAATAGCATGAAGGTAGTACTGAAAATGCGCCATGCGACTGCTTTTATGGTGGTACTTTTGAAGAATAACATGCATGTGTATTTTTATTTAGTATTATGCAGTGATTACTGTGATCTTGTGATGCTGTGGATGAATTTGCCTAAAAGAAGCACTACAAAGTGAGCTGTACGACTGATTGACTTTCCTCAGACTTTAGAATCAGAATCCGAATCAGAAAAAGATTTATTGCCAGGTATAGTTTACACAATACAAGGAATTAGTTCTGGTGGGTTGATGCAACAACTCTTCCAAAAGCTGCTTTACACACTATTAAATTGTGTCCTTTTGCCTCCAGTTTTCAGCATGAATATAAAATTGTATAATAATATAACATATGGCGACATAGTTCAGCAAAGTGTAAGATCTGACTGGATTCCTCCAGTCTGTGCACAGTTATTTTTCACCTCCAGCTAACCTCCAGCTTATGTAATGTACTACACTGCACCATGCAGTATGCATATGTAGTAGCACTTGGTCTGCTCAATCCATCACTTTCATCCTGCAAAGAGTTCTCATACCTACACCGCCTCACATGTTCACGCCTGCCTATGCGAGTCCTAATCAACTTAAGACAGAGCTCTAAAATAAATGAAACTATGTGAAAAATGAAAATGACATACACTCACCGGCCACTTTATGAGGTACACCTGTCCAACTGCTCGTTAATGCAAATTTATAATCAGCCAATCACATGGCAGCAACTCAATGCATTTAGGCATGTAGACATGGTCAAGATGATCTGCTGCAGTTCAAACTGAGCATCAGAATGGGGAAGGAAGGTGATTTAAGTGACTTTGTACGTGGCATGGTTGTTGGTGCCAGACGGGCTGGTCTGAGTATTTCAGAAACTGCTGATCTACTGGGATTTTCACGCATAGCCATCTCTAGGGTTTACAGAGAATGGTCTGAAAAAGAGAAAATATCCAGTGAGTGGCAGTTCTGTGGGCGCAAATGCCTTGTTTGATGCCAGAGGTCAGAGGAGAATGGGCAGACTGGTTCGAGCTGATAGAAAGGCAACAGTAACTCAAATAACCACTCGTTACAACCGAGGTATGCACAATAGCATCTCTGAACTACAGCAGCAGAAGACCACCCTGGGTGTCACTCCTGTCAGCTAAGAACAGGAAACTGAGGCTACAATTCGCACAGGCTCATCAAAATTGGACAATAGAAGATTGGAAAAACATTGCCTGGTCTGATGAGTCTCAATTTCTGCTGCGACATTCGGACGGTAGGGTCAGAATTTGGCATCAACAACATGAAAGCATGGATCCATCCTGCCTTGTATCAACGGTTCAGGCTGGTGGTGGTGGTGTAATGGAGTGGGGGATATTTTCTTGGCACACTTTGGGCCCCTTAGTACCAATTGAGCATCGTGTCGACGCCACAGCCTACCTGAGTATTGTTGCTGACCATGTCCATCCCTTTATGATTACAGTGTACCCATCTTCTGATGGCTTCTTCCAGCAGGATAACGCACCATGTCATAAAGTGCGAATCATCTCAGACTGGTTTCTTGAACATGACAATGAGTTCCCTGTACTCCAATGGCCTCCACAGTCACCAGATCTCAATCCAGCAGAGCACCTTTGGGATGTGGTGGAACGGTAGATTCGCATTATAGATGTGCAGCTGACAAATCTGCAGCAACTGCGTGTTGCTCTCATGTCAATATGGAGCAAAATCTCTGAGGAATGTTTCCAGTACCTTGTTGAATGTGTGCCACGAAAGATTAAGGCAGTTCTGAAGGCAAAAGGGGGTCCAACCCGGTAGTAGCAAGGTGTACCTAATAAAGTGGCCGGTGAGTGTATATGACACATAGATAGGAATTATAACACCAAATTCATCACTTCCACATAAACAAAAAACAAAAGCTCCTTACATTTCAGAACAAACCATATGAACTATTCTCTGTCTAATCCACCGCTATGGTTAAAGTAAAATTAGGTTTGTGATTATGAAACAAGAAAGACGTTGGTGTTGGATTTTTAGTGATTGTTGTGGTGTGGTTCAATATGAAGTACCAAAAGGTCTTGTACAGAGTATTAATATTAGTATAGAGACACCATGTTTATGCTTATATTAAGAGCGGCATAACTGTTTTTCAAAAAGACATTGCACTAGAATACAAACTATTTCTTGCTTTGACACTGTCTTGAATGTAAAGACAGGTATTATTTTGTCCAGCTACATGATCGTAGTACTGACCTGCCAGCCATTTAGCGCTCTTGTCAGACAACAAGGCTCCACTTGAGTGTTGTCAAAGACCATAATATAATATAGATAATGTGTCATACTGAGACAAATACCACCCAACAAACAACACTAAACACAGTGTGTCATATTAGAGTACTAACGGGGCAGGGCTGCTCTGCTCTTCCACAGCCTCCATGGCACACTGCAGGGACCTCTGTAGAGACAGCAGCTGACTGGATGTCTCTCTGAGCATGAACCTGGTGACAAACTGACCCAACACGCTGGAACCCTGGTACTCCTGAGAGAGAGAGAGAACAACACACAGAACCAGAGGTTAAAGCACCAGACAAAATCAACAAGACAGTAAAAAGCAGCTCTGAGACGAGACAAACCACACAGAGATGGAAAGGGGAGATGATTTGATAAGTTGTCCAAAACAATGACACGAACTTCTGAAATGTGTGACGGCTGCAATTAAATGGGCTAATTAATTCACTGAACACATACATTATTCAGCACTGCGTATCCAAATTCCAAGGTGGAAGAACTTTAATAGGAGACATAATTGGCGCTCAAGTCCCCAAACACGAATGTGATTACACATTCTCAGAGGAGTCGTATTCACGCGATGTGCTAATGAAGTAACAATGCAGAGCTCCTTTTCAAAACTTATGATGACAAGTGGCCCCCACTGACAACACATCGTGGGATTAACAGTCCAGAGCATCGACAGACCGCAGCTGTTAACTAGTGATTGCCCAAACCTCTGAGGACTTCCCCACTTTGACAGCTTTAAAGAGCCAGAAAAGAGGAGCAAGGTGATCTAATTAAAACAGGATGCATAATTATTCCGAACACATCTCCTCCCCTCTTCTTATGTAACAAGCATTGCTGTTTTCTCCTCCAGAACAATTCAAATCCCCAATTTGTGGCTGTTACCTTGAAAAGTCCAGAGGCAATTTTAAAATATCTTGTCAGCTGCAAATGAATAATATAATGAGCAAGGATTCAAAATACAAGGCTGCGTAAAATTTTTAGGTTTTAGGAAAACACAGTGGAGCATTGGGAAACTCAAGAGAAACATTTCATGTGGTAGTTACACAATTCAAATTCACAGGCAGATGCTCATTTGTCTACTCAGCAAAAGCTACTTCAATAAATCTTCAGGGAATATTTTGAGGTTCTTGCCAGGAATTAGATGAGAATATTGATAACACTCTCATCGTTGAGATGCAGTATGCCTTTACCTGAAGATTCATTACTGGAGAGCTATGGGACACACTATTACCTACTATATGAAAAAAACGGTTTGCCTTCACTGTCAGTGAGGAGAATCAGCATTTGCGTTTGCATATTCATAGAGCTATTTTACAAAAGCTTCACCTACATCTTTCAGCCCTGCACTATGTATATAGGGATCATCACACCTTCTCACATTCATGTCTAGGAAGATCTGCTGCTTTTGTTACTGTGCAACATCAGTAGAATATACTATTTATTATATATATACATATGTTTTAGCATACTTAATCTCGATCTTATCTAATAGAACCATACACTCTTCTTTTATTGCTTTTATTGCTTTCTCCTTTTAGGTGTCGAACTGCATCACTGAAAATGATTTTTGTCCCTCAATGTGTTTTCTGAGAAAAATAGTATATTAATGTCTGTATCGTGTACTGCATATGAGGCTACCACCAACAGCCTGTTAACTTAGTTTGGCACATAGATGGTAATGGTAAACAGCTCGGGGGAAACTGTAAGTAACAGAATCTAACTGCTCTTACTATCTATCCATCCATCCATCCATCCATTATCTATACATGGCTTAATCCTCACTAGGGTCGCGGGGGGGCTGGAGCCTATCCCAGCCGACTTAGGGTGAAGGCAGGGGACACCCTGGACAGGTCACCAGTCTATCACAGGGCTGCACTAAGAGACAGACAACCAAGCACACTCACATTCACACCTACGGACAATTTACAATTAACCTCAACATGTTTCTGGACCTTGTGAAAGGAAGCCGGAGAACCCGGAGAGAACCCACACTGCACGGGGGAGAACATGCAAACTCCAGGCAGAAAGATCCTTGCGACCTTCTTGCTGTGAGGCAACGGTGCTAACCACCGAGCCACCTTGCAGCCCCTGCTCTTCCTAATGACCATGAAAGGGAATAAACAAATAAGATAGTTAGACACAGTCAGGGTAGCTGTGTCCTGCTGCTTCCAGAGTTTGTACTGAACTAAATTTACCATTTTCTAGCTACACAGTAACTGTATGTTAACCTCACAGACATGAAAGTTATATCAATGTTCCCTTCTAACGCTCATCAAGAGAGCAAATTCGCATGCTTCCCAAAATGTTTAACTACTCTCTTAGAATAAAGCATATTTAAATTTTTGGTAATGGGGATATGTCTGGCTGGAGTCAGAGGTGGACTGATAACCTGGATATTCTGTGGATTGAACACAGATAAGGGCAGCTGCATGTGCTGGACTGGAATGGGCAGATTGACTAATCAGCATCTATGTGCAGCAGCAGGAGCAGTAGAGGACCACAAGAGCTGGACTGCAGGTAAGAAACAGAGATCTGAAGATGTCCCTCGAGGCAGCAGAGGGCAAGTGGGAAGTAGAGGAAGTCAAGTAACCAGCTTGGGCTACATGTTGGCCCATTAATCACCAACTGCAGCTTTTACACCAGGTAGTAAATAAAAACAGTGTCGTAATGCATTGTATAAACCACACAAGCTGGATATTATATCAATATTATTATCAATAAAAGTATTAAATATTAAGTTATGATCAGAAAAGAAATACTTATTTAGCCCTAGACAGAAAAGTAATCAGCTTTAAAGAAATCTCTTAAGGTATGTTTATTCAAGGTGAGAGAAATAAACAAATCCTGTGTAAAAGCACTAAACTGACATCACTATTATCCATAGGTCTACTACATTTGCTATACAACTATTTTAGCTTGTACAGTACTGTTTGGTAAATTAGGAAAAGAAAGCTGCTGCATTTTGTTCATGGGCAGATTGCTGTTACATCCCAGCCTCCTTTGTTAACTCATCTCTTTTGGGAGACTTGGTACAGCATTGGCTCCATCTGTGCATGTTGGTGTTTCCTCTAATAGACAGGAATCAGGACCAAATTAAACTAAGCACATTCATACCGCAAAACCCAAACTTTGCAGGCATATGCATGTGTGTTTGTGTCTGTGTGTGTGTGTGCTTGTATTACTCATATTGCAGGCATCTGTTTACACAGTCACATTGTGGGGACACACATCTTTTGGGGAATAAAAGCAAGCCCACATGATGAAAATCATTACGACATTTTACGGTGAAGACTCGGAATTAAACAATTATAGTTGGAGTTAGGGCATGACTTGAGGACATGAATGTAAGTCAGTGTCCTCTGAGGTGATGGAAACATATTTGCAACACAAGCAGGCGATGCTTGTGAGGAAAAACAAGCAACACTTGCACAAGTTTTAATACCACAGAAGACTACAGTAAGACAAATTCATGTAAAATTAAATGACTCACAACATAACTAGTTTTGCATTTCAGGGACAACAATAAAAGTAATCATGCCATACCTCTTTAGTTTTGTCCATTGCCTTTAAAATTGCAATATTCAGGCTCTCCAGGGCTGAAAGGACATTTAGATACTCGCCAAGGTGCTGAGAGAAGTAATCTAACAGGAAACAGAAAGCAAACTGTCTGTGTCATTGCAGTGTCAGAACAATCAAAATCTTATATGCTGCCATGACAAATTCCAATGAAAATAAGGCCATTACAAAGCAGCGATCATAAACAAGTAAAAATACCTTTTGGTTTTATCAGCAATTACAGTTGGAAGAATTTGATGTTCATATGTCTATGCATTAGTAACACTCAGCTCACACCAAGCCATGAAATTTATACTGAGCTGTTTTAATCATTTCTATTGCCAAGTGTCACAAAAGTGGCTATTTCACTCCAGTGTTCTTTGTTACTTTCATGATAGAAACCGTGAAGCTTATTTTAAAACCAGATATAGCAAACGGTTACAAAAAAACTCCTGCATGTTAATACTTGTTTCACAAATGAGTTCACAGAATCAAAAAAACTATGTATATTTAAGTTTTTCACTGACTCACAATAAAAGACTGTGTGGGAATTGTTCTCCAAACCAATTTACTACCACAGCAGTAAAGCAGAGAGAGATTTTAATTAATTCTTAGTTCTTAATTAACTTTAATTGAAGAGCACAGTCGATAAGACGCAGTCAACAATATATCAGCAGTACCCTTTACACTTTAAAGATTCGAGTTGCCTTACTGAATTTTATCCTTTGAAACACTTGGTCAAAAGAACACAGTGAAGTGACTGATGTTCAGTGAACTACATCTGAGATAAAAGGAGCATTCTGTTATGGAAAACAGTCAACTTCTCTTGACGTCAAATGGAAAAGATGCCATGCCCGTTCAATAAATTATGAAGAAGCTATATTCTGGGTACAACTGGTATTTACCACTCTCTGCCCTATTTCTTCACTTTATTCAGGCCATCTGACACACATGCATTTTTAAGATGACAAAAAAAAATAAAAAATAGGTCAGAATATTTGTGTCATATTTTTCCTTCATATTTACAGATTCAAATCAGCGCTGCAGGTGGGTGGTGGTGTTGATGGTTGTGGTGAAATAAAACGTTTTTTCATCTGAAAAAAATAAATCTAAAGAGGAGTCAAAGGCATAGAAGTCAAACAAGAAGATTCTTCAAAATGTCAAAATTTTGGAAAATCTGCTTATTTTTCTTTTTATGTGGATGAGAAGATCAGAATATTGATAACGCTCTGAGGTCCAGGTCTGTAAATGTCAAGATACACACCACTGGCAGCTAGTTAGCTTAGCATAGCCCAAAGACTGGCAATGGAACTGCAGCCTGGTTCTATCACAACCTCCAAGTCCTACTATCTTGTTACACTGACATCAGTTATTTACTTGTTTTAGTTAAGGAGGTTTGTGCAAAAAAAAAAAAAAAAAGACTTTATGCCAAAATAATTATCTCCTATGTGTGATAAAAGGCAGAAAAAAGAGTGGTGTTGACCTTTGAATTAAGCACATTTCCAAATGTTTGAGCAGCTGCTTTCAAGCTAGCCGCACCAATCAACTAAATATAGGAATCTGCAGACAGCTAGCAATGATGTTGGTAAAATTTAAGAGTTTTACAGAAATTCATGTACTGTGACAAATTAAATCAGACAAAGCACTAACCTGATAGCTTGTCAGTGTCCAGATTGCTGCAGGGCAGAGCAGAGGAGATAAATAGGGAAAGTTAATTAGAAAAATTTAAAGTCATGCTGCCCTCCATTTCTGCTTGAAAGATTTTGTGACTCTTAACTGTGGGAATATAATAGTGTTAGCCCAAGGAAGACACACACAGACACACATAGATACACACACACAAGGCCTACGTGTTAAAGCCATGTAAATCAGTTTTTTAGTACAACCGATTACCTTGTGAACTTAAATACAAGCTGTCATTTTGCATTTTGTGATGCTTGAAAAACATGACAAATGCATGTTAATGCAGTCACACGTCCCTTGTCTTGCTGTACAAACACTGAAATCGATATTTCTTTGTTTACCAGTCATGGCAGAAATTTGAAGGCTGCATTGTTCTCAGTGTCACAGTTTGATAAAAGCAGAACCATTACTATATGAAAAGTTTCCCTGTTGCGTTAATGGCTTTGTACAGGTCATTTTCACTGTCTGGTGCAAACCACAAGCAAAGCTGGTTAATGGGTGATATTATTAACGGTTATTAAATGTGTTTTTCTCAGCCCTAAATCTGCATGTTGATGGTGACAAGATGTCTCCTGATACCTGTGTTGCAGGCTTCTATCACAATCACCAAAACGATCATTCTTTTCCCTTTATTCTCAGTTCAGAAGAAATATTCTTTGTGCTATACAACTTCAAGCATTATCGCCAAAGCCAGGTTTTTGGAAGTGCTTTTGTCCCCGTCACCATATAATTAAGAGTATTGATATTCAGAACAGGAAAGATCTTTAATTAGACATCAGAGCTTGGCTCATGCCAACTGCCTCAAAGCTTGGAGGCTTGTTATAGAAGACTCGTGGCTATTGTGTCATGTCAGTGATAGTCAGCACCTAATAGCATGCCCAAAAGCAATTTTTCACACAGCGATGGAAAAATTGGCACCACAACAAAAAATAAATGCTGAATTGTGACTGTGGCCAAACACCACTTGTGCTATTAGTTAGGTATAAAAACAAAAAAATTAATACAAAGTGTGTTGAAAAGATCAATGCATCTCCATGCGTGTATGCTCAGGGTCATTTATGCTTTGAGGTGGTTCACCAGTCAGAGTGAATTTATTATATCACCGGAAACAGTTTGACAGCCAAGTTACAAAGCTTTATTTGGCCTCCCAAAGTTGACACAATGCAAAGAGGCGTGAAGGGAAAAGTTACAAAATATCTCATGAATACAAATCCCTGATCTGCCAAATACAATATTAGAACAACGGATTTAGATAATAAGGGGATTTACAATCATTACAAATACTACGGCGGGGGAGAAATAGTCTTTTTCTCTGTGGCTGCACAGAGTTAAACGCTCACTCCAGAGCAGTGATTTCAGCAGCTACCCTGAGGCTGATTTCCGTGATTGCAATTTCAGAGAAGTAGGTTTTGAAGTGGCTGGTGAACTCCACAGTATTTTATGCCCAAAGGAACGGAGTAAACATTAATTCAGCCAGCATGAGTTTGGCTGCAGGGCTCCATTTTTTTTCTTTTAACTGAAGACCTTCCTCCAACTGTGAGACATTTAGCCTGTAACTGATGGCTGGAAAGGAACATTTTAACTCTGCCTTTAAGCTTCAGACACATTTAGTTCAATCTCTTATTTTATGACTGTAAAAGGAGAAGTTGCAAAAATATTGTGAAGCGATTTATTACAGAACTTGTAGAAATATTTTTTAAAAAAAGGGAACATCAGTCATTTCTCACCATGACAGATGAAAAAACTCACTTATTCTGTCGACCATCTATGGAGTAGAAAAGCTCTTGCAGCTCCTCAGTAGTCAGGATCCCATCAGCAAAGTAAGCATTGAACTCTTCAAATGACAACTTGCCATCATCTGAAAGACGAAAGATGTGTAAGCTTCCATAACTGCACAGAAAATAAAACAACCTATAGTGTCACGAGTCATGAGACAGCATGAGAATCATTTTCACTGAGTCTTTGTGTATTTCAGAACATATGTAGCTACTGTCTATGTGATTCAACTATTAATACACTAGCAACATAATTTCCTGTAATCTGAATCTGTCTTGCATCTGTCTTTTCTGATTGTGGTGTGACAGCACATTCATCCCCAGTTCCATGACCAGTGTGTCATTTCCATTTCCATCCTTGTTACCTTGTTCATTAATCTGTTCTGCTGTGGCTCTGGAAGGTATAGAATGTATAGTCACGACTTACAGGTCTACATTTAACATTTATTGATTAGTTTGCTGAAGATTTTTCTGACTAATTCTGGCAGCTGAGGTGCCAAAAAAACAACTTTAGAATAGAAAATGAGCATTTCATAAAAATATTGGATCTTTCCATAAATAAAATACATTTTCTTGTCTTAATTTTGCATTAGGTCATGTGTTTTTTGTTAGTGTTTAAATACACTTACATGTGTAAAAACAATGACTATGAAAACTTAACATATCTCTCATTTAGCAAACAAATCTATGTAAAATTACAGATACAAAGTTTCAATTGTCACCAATTGTATCTAATTTTTAAAATCTATTTATTCAAAAGATATACTAAAACATCTGTAAAATAAACAGGAAAAATTCTGCAACAGAATTTACAGTGACAGAAAAAAATACTAAAGTTGCACACACTGGAAAAGCTGGAACCACAATGTTGCACACTGTTATTTGATATAATTTTTAAAATTAATAAGAAATCATCAAAATTGTTGATTGTTAATTTTCTGGCCACAAATCAATAACTTGACAAACATGTCAGCATAAAGTTCTTTCACAGTTTCCATTGATGGCAACTGTCAGATGTTTTGTAGTTTCATACAGTATGCTATATGTGTAAACGACAATGATAAACTCTGAAATAACATAGTATTTTTCCAATACTACGCACAGTTATTGCACAAAATATGAAATGAAAGAAAGTACAGATTGTCAACAGATTGGAATTTTCTCTTTCTGCTCCAACTAGTTAACTGGGAGCACAGCTTGTTGTGACAGACAATGCACAGAAAAATCAATAGCAGAAGATAAATAGCTTGGTTGTCGTCTGTGAAAAAGTGCTCCTTCGCGAGTCTACCATCAATCTGTCTGCAGTACCAACTACACAGATCTGTCAGCAGTTAGCCTGCCAGAGAGAAACTGCTAGATGTTTTAATCCTCATAGAGGAGTCCAGATGAACAGATTAATTGGTATCTATAGAGAAGACTCCTGATCCTTGACAGACATTTAGGCATTCGGCTGTATATTGGAAGGAGTTGAGTACACAATTACTCAGTGCAACTGAAGAACAAACCAGAATGATCAGCAATAAAATACAGCCAAGATGGGCATACGCACAAATGAGTACGACTGTGAAGTTGCTAAATGAGGCAAACAGACTGGTTTTATCATAGAGAGTCAAACAAACAAAAGTGAGGCAGCCGTGCCACAACTGTGCCCATTTGGAAAGTATCACCACGGATTTATAATATGACTCTCGTTCTAACCCTTCTTAGTTGTCGATGAGTGCTGGCCTTATAATTTATTTGAGTGATCTCATCCTGTTGACAAAAACACAAGGTAAAATGAGGGTGGTTTAATATGCTGTGGAGTTCCAGTTGGCTGACTCAGCGCTGCTGCAAACACAAGGGCAAGTTTGAAGACCATCTGTTCCACTGGAGCCTCTGACACCGCTCATCATCGCCTCTGACCAGAATATATAATGTGCAGGTCCAGACAATGCATTGCTGTCGCCAGCTTGTCCCACTTTGGTTTTTCAGATAGATTTCAGATTTTCTGCACTTGCAAAACCAAACTGACACAAATACTTCAAACATCTAAAGACAACATTTAAAGAAAAATGTATGCAACAACTTTATCACTGCAACAATCAATTCAATGAGTTTAAAAAAGTGGGAATGAATGCTTAATTTTTAATCCAGAGCAGCTAATCAGCATCCTATATAGATATAAACATAAATATACACAAAGTTAGAAATCCAGGATCACTACTGAGCATGCAGAATTAACACCCTACATAAAATCCTTAGAATCAACATAGTCATGCACTACTCTTTGCCTTTAGAGCTGTGGGTGACTTTGTACTGTAGAGACGTCAAGGTTTTTTTCTTTTTTCTTCTTCTTTTGTTATTTTTGTGGCTTGTCGTTTTCAGTAAGGAAAAAAAATGTGCACACTGGAACAGCAAACTGAAGTGTCCTCGATACAAAACCGAGAACATTATGTTCTTCTGAAGGTAAAGGCTACACCCTTTAAGCACAGATTTTACATTGAGCCTTTTCAGAACCATACATTCATGCATTGCTGTCGAACTTTACTTATAGATTTTATACACTTTATGCTTTGTTTATGTAGCTGACTTATATTTTTGATTTCAACTGTACTTACACTTTGGACTAAGAGACTACAGATCCCTCCACATGTCTTACTCTCTCCTCACTGTGTTGGAAAGATCCCTATGTTTGGAGTGCCAATCTAGACAGGCAGCGGCAATGCCCAGAAGTGACACCCCCATTTGATGGATTAATGACGACTACTGGCAGTCTCCTCTATTCATTTTGACAGTTCTGGGTTAAAGGTCTTCATCATTAAAGAGGATGACCGCCACAAATGCACAAGCCTTGGCCTAAATGTGTTCTACGCCTTCTATGAGAACAGAGTTTTATACTTGTTCAAAGGCTTTGAGTTGATGTGAACAACATGCAGACACAGTGCTATCCCTTTTTTGCTCCATCTTAGGAGACATCAGACATCAAAAATGTAGATCTGCATGTCTGGATCAGAGCCACATTAGCTGCCATACATAAAATAAAATGAATCTCAGGTGACGAGGGTGACAGCTTGCATCTAAAGAAGGAATTATAAGATCTGCAGTCAGGTGGGGGGATTATGGTTATTATCTTATGACTTCCATTAGGAATTCCAATGAATGCATCCGAATGTCTGTCGCATGCATCTATTTAGATAACTTGAGGTATGCAGGGAAGACAAGGATAGAGGAAGTGATACAACACTTGATTGCCAAATTGGACATTCTTTTTCAGTCACACATTAGTTTTATATTGGTTGTACTGTTCTGCACTATTTTGTGTCTTGCGTCTTTAGAACAGAGTTTTATTTTAACTGTGGGGTCAGGACCTAATGTCAGGTCACCAGATAAACAGAAAGCTTAGAGGGGAATTTCAGCCATTCATACAATGATATATGTTTTTGCTTGGGTCATGACAACTTTGTTATCTGCTGAGAGAAACCTACTGTCAGTCACTTTCTCCTTCAAATATCTTGTTTTTCCCTTAAAGTTAGAGAAATGTTTGCAAACTGCTATATGGTTGCATTTAGTTCTCCAAAATGTATTATTTTATCTTGTCATCTCCTACCATCAGCATCAAACTGTGCAATGTGCATTCCGCAATATATCAACACATGTACAACAGCCACCATTAAATCTGTATCTTTTTGCATGTTGAAATGCATCAATCTGTTAGTCATTCATCAATGTTGAGGTTTATAAAAAAAAAAAAAAAAAACTAGGTGTACTAAAATGTCTGTTGTTTTCATCCTCTTACAGTCCTATTAAAGCAGCTACAGTCGTCAGTTGCTGAACAGATGCACAATTGCCAGCTGATGCTTTTGAATTAATATCCCATCATGTATGACCCAGTGGCATAAAGATTCTCTTAATCAGTCCATCACCACTCAAAACACTCCAAACACGCACATGCAGGCCTGTATTATGAACGTGAGATCTGAGGCATTGTTACTCTCATGTTTCCAGATAATGTGATTTCACAGCAGCCATGCTCGGAACATTTTCAGAGAAGAAAACAATGGGTTCTGTGGGGAATAACTTAAATCACAGTCTGCAAATGAATCATTCTCCCCATATGAAAATGCTGCTGATATGATTTAGAGGAAACAAGCGCTCTCTGAAACAAACACAATACCTTTGATGCATTTTAAATTAGTATTGAAATCATTTTACTGTTCACAAATTTATGGATGGTGACAAAATTTGCTTTTTGCGTGTCGGGTGATTTCTAATATCAAGAAAAAAATAAGACACTAGAGTTAAGTATTAGACCTTGGTGACAAGGTAGAATCATAATAAGTGCGGGCATTATGAGACCCAATACCCAGCTATAACCATTTGTCACTGAAGCAATTTTGTCAGTACAGCTGTGTTCTTTGAAACAATGAACTGCCAGTATGGTGAACACAGATGTGGCAGAGAATATCTAAAGCACAGCTAACTGTGTAATATCTCTCTTTAAATTGAAGCAAAATCTAAACAGCTAAAGCCTCCACACAGCACACGGACGTGCAGAATATTCCATTACGACAGCAAAAGCTCTACATCATACTGAAGGTTGAGGCAAAAGCAATACTGTGTGGATAAAATGAACTATAGAAAATAATATACTGCTATTATAAGCTGAATATAAAGTGATTACAGAAAGAAAAACATACGATCAAATACGTAAAAAGTGAGAAAAATCACTTAGGAGTTTCAAGGTGAGAAAAATGTTCTCAAAGAAAGCGTAGAGGAGTGCAGTTTCTGAAACACAAAAGGATACAGGCAGCTCACGTATGGCCTTGTCTCCTTTACAATTAAAAAAAAAAAAAAAAAAAAATCAGATTACTCTAAACAAAGTGTTCACAAGATCAGAGTAAACAAGAACCAAATGAGAAACTGGGGACATCCGGTAAAGTAGGGCACAAAGTAGGCCACAGTCATATCTCTCCAAAGGTTAGTCCCATTGCAGACTCTCCTAAGTGGTTTATAAATTCTCCATGAATGCATCACAGCTTCAATAGCAACTGGAATTACTAAGAGAGATGGGGTCTTGTTCCTTCATGGTAGACTCCAAAGCACTACTGTACATCCAAGCCACTACGGATTCTGGTATTCTTAGTATCAATGCTCTACTTAGGCTGTGTTTCACCAGGCCATCTGTGAGGAAGTCTGAAGTGTCTTTTTTATTTTCCATATTCTAATTTAAGACTGCATGCCACTTTTAGACCACATATCCTCGTGTATCTAGATTCTCCACTAATGGTTTGAAGCTGACTGGTCTTTTCCTCCACACTGGAGCAGATGTCAGGACATGAAAATGGTTCATTATCAGCTGGAGAGAAAAAGAGGAAACGACTTCTTCAGCTATCGGACTGAGAAGTGTGTTTGAAATCTATATGGTGTATCTGAATCTCAGGAAAATGAAGAATTACATTTTCTAGCAAAAGGCTATGTCTTGTTTTTATTAAGAAATACACCAGTTTAAATAGCTCAGCTTTACACTGCAACTGGACAGTTGTGCTTGTTGAAGATAGTTAATTATCTTCAGGATTTCATGAAATATGAACTGAAACAGAGATAGACCAAATATTTACTTGGCCTTGTTACATTTGGCTCTTATCTGTGATAACATTTCCTATTGAAGTTCCACAAAATAGCTTTATCCAGAGGTTTTGTCTGTACAAATTCCATGTGTTGATGTAGATCACAAAATGCAACCTAAAACCCAAGAAAAATGTACACGGTCCCTGGGTTGGGGTTGTTTTATAATGCTACTCATACCAGCTCTTCTTTTGTTTCATCCTGTAGGTCAGTAAAATATAGATAGATATTACTTAACACATACAACATATACTCATTACATTATTACTGTCAGCTACAGACGTCACTGTTTTTTTTATTATTATTATTATTATTATTATTGTTATTCAAGGCATTCTAAAGACGTCATTTTTATATTTTGCTATTACTTCCTCAGACTAATTTTAGTGATATTTAGGTGAAGAGTAGCGGATGTGGGAACATGTATTTTCCTTTTATGTTAGTAGCAGTCCTCCTTCCCCCTCCTTCTCCACCTTCAGGTCAGTGATGACAGCCATCTCAGCTGAGCTCATTATAATACAGCAGTGAATATATTTGGCTGCAAGCAATAGAACGATTCATCATGTACCGGGGATTGTTAAGAGCTGTTGAGAAGTAATTGTTGTTTGGAGACATGCTGATTACAGACCCTGTAAACACAGCGATGCCCCATACACTTCTTCTTGATTTGCTCTGGCACTTTATTTCATCTGTCGTTAGAAAGGCATTTGCCAGCCACAGCACCAGCAGATGCAAGGAGCACTGGTACTGCAAGAGGATGTTCACCTGGTCTGTTCGGGCCCAAAAAGATTCACAATGCTGACCAATTAGAGCTCTACCTTTCATGAAATTATCCACCTTTTATGTTTTAATATATCTTGCACCATCGCAATAAACCAAACAAAAAGTTCCATGCTAAATACATGTTGTTCTGGGTCAGTTATTGCAATGTTGTTGCTCATTCTTTCCTGTCCATGAACAAACTTTAGGTACTGATATCAATTTCATGAAATCAAGGACAAAGGATTTCTTTCTAAAATAAACAGTAGCAGTCCATGATGCAATACAACCACATACTGAAGAGAAAAACTTATTTGAGTTTCAATATTAATCAAACAGTACATTCTGCATAACGTACAGCTTCGGTTCAGTCTCATTTCCTTCGACTTGCTCGGTGTAGCAGAGTAAAGACAGTTGTTCGCGTAAAATTTCATGAGATGGCTTGAGGGTAAGTGGTTACAACAAAAAGTAATTTCATTACAATACAACTCAGAGAATGAATTTAACATCCCAGAGTGATGCTATGTAGCAGTGTAAGACCATCCAGGGCTTTCTGCAACAAAAAGTACAGCAATCCCTTGTAATGCTTCTATTTGGTTTGATTGCTTTAACTTACTTATGAACCTGCATTGCCCTGAAGGCTTTCATACACTGTGCGGTAAAAATTGTCTGACAAGGTCATAAATCTGACACTGCAAGACAGTTTCAAAGAAATTTAGTTGCAATCAGGCTCTAAGGCAAAGTCATTCTAGATATGACATCTGCAAACTTTTAAGTTATGTTAGATTTTGCAATGACTATCAAGTAGAAAGAGAAGGAAAAACTTTGCTCTAATATATTATTGAATGCATCATATATAAATACACCATCCATGACATGTACACACTAGAGTGGTATATGCGTGCATGTATTTCTTTGGAAGTGTTGGCGTTGGCTAAAAATACTATAGTGCTCATGCATGATCCAGGTACAACGTGTGAAATACATGACTTTTTCATGACAGAAACCAAAGGTGCATGTGTGTTTACAAGTGTCTGAATATAAATAACATTTTCAAAGAGCAAAAGTATCTTGCGTGCGCTCGCTAATGAAGTTGTTGCTAGAGAAAAATAACGTGGTTCTGCCTGCAATAACATGACTCACATTAACATGTAAACAGCACCCAGTCATCTGTGTTGACACTGGCTGAGAGGTGCTTTATTTTGTGTGACACATTCCTCCAGTCTTGGCTATGATCCAGAATCTTAGCATCATTTTAATTGGGTAGAAAAACTTGTTCGAGCATGAAGAGGAAAGCAGCTTCACTTGAAGAGCCATTCATGCAAATCCCTTCTTTTTCTCCGCCCAGATCGGCTGAGGCATAACAACAAGTGGAAGGATGTGTGTGTGTGTGTGTGTGTGTGTGTGGGGGGGGGGGGGGGGGGGGGTAACTAGTACGAATTGTGAAAAATTATTCATCAACAAGCATATTATGTACTGTTTACTCACCGTTTTTGTCTGCTCTGCGGAAAATCTGGGGGAGAAAAAACAACAGGGGGAGGGAGGTGGTTATTACTTCTAGCCAAGCATCACTAAAGGGATTCTTGCAATAAGCGTAGTGCAGATGATTACGAATCATGGCGATTTGACAAAAAGATGTTTGACGTCTGAGCTTCATTTGTCCTGCTGCACTGAACAGAAAGATCACGAGAACAAGGACATTCACAAAGACTTCTGTACTTTCTATGTGTGAGTCATGTTCAGTTCAGTGCCAGCTGATATAAGAGCAAAGTCAAAATAGATTTAACAATTAATCACTTGTAAAGTTAATAGTGATTTTCCGAAGCAGTGTAAGGCCAGGATGTCATGATCCTGCAGATGCTTCAGTCACAAAAACTCCTCAAATTCTACGGACACAAACATTAATATCACAGGTGATTTGGACAGATTCACAGTTTATGTTTGATTGGTTTGAAAACTGTATGTTTGTCCTGATTTAATTTCACTGGGTTGGACATAATGGTGAAAACAGAACTGTTGTAGTTATTCAATGTAGTGTGTTTTCGGTGGATTCTAAATATTTTTGTTGATTATACTGTATGCATTAATATGGAAGAGCTGTTGCCAAGGTAACAACTAATGGGGACTCCAAACATCAGTCGCTACTACTCTGCTATCTGCTCCTGTTGCAGCTCACTGATTTCGCTGGCAGGTGGCTTTGCCTGCACTGCAAGTGTAAACACCACACCCACCACTCCAGCTTTCAGCTTTGTGATTCATTTTAACATTTTAACATGCTGTATTAGGAAAAAGAACAGGCTAAATTATGCTTCTACAGCCATGTTACCATGTCTCATTTGCAGGTTGCGCAGAAATTCAACATAGCCACCTTGTTTTAATTACACCAATGCTTATCCTGCTATGACAAGTCAAAATGTCTGCTGTGAAAAAAAAATCCTACTTTGAGCTACTGCTGCTGCCAGCTGCTGTTGCAACTACTTCTTGTTGGCATGGGGCCACTGCTGCATTGCAACTTTAATGCCCAAATGATATTTGGTTTAAGCTGATTCATTAATTATCAGGTAAACTTGTAAGTATAACGATGTTGCACAGTATACAGACAGCACTGTACAATCGCATTAGGTTTGGCTCCTTTCATTCTATTCCCAATGGGGGACTCTGCAAAGGTTTATAATTAGCAGGAGAGGCTGCAATGCTTCAGTCAGTTGTATTTGCTATAACAGCAGCTATAATGAGGCTGTTTTTGAGTGAATAAAGGATAAATGAGCACAAAAATATCACCTCCAAAACTACCACAACACTGTTAAAACAAATATAGTCTGTGCTTCACAAAGCTCTTTTTACATGCTACAAACACTGTTCATATAACTATAACTTCTGGATTAGGTACATGCACTTATGCACAGAGTAAACAATCCAAACTCTGAACCTCTGAGAAATTAGGAATATGATGCACACTAATGGAGAAATGGTTCATATTTGCAAAAAGCTAAAACATGCTTTCAAGAATCTGTTTTTTTCTACCTGCTGAGAAATTCACAGTGTGATCAGTCTTGTGATTGTGTGACTGGCCAGGAGTTGGCAGTGGTTACTGCAGTAGTTTTTATGGAGTCTCAAAATGCTAAAAAAAATCCTATTTTGAACAGAGGTTTAAATAATTACAACACCAACAAAGGCAACTGTATAATAGACTCTTTCTTCAAGGCAGAAAATAATATACTAACTTAACACATATCAGCTGAAACAGAACAGAATGACTACAGTATGGATGAGTCACTAACACTGGGAAAGTCATTTGTTAGCTGACATGAAATAAGACACAAGGCCACACAATATGCCTTATGGCTGACCACATAAAGTGTTAGTCAGCTGCTGGCAGCCTTGAGAAAAAGAGCTGCTGCCAACAGTGGAAAATTACAGTTGGTCATATTAGTTGTTATTTAGGCTAATGGGAACTTTATTGCCCAGAAACAAGAAATGGAACTGTTTGGCTTCAGCACACAGCATAAATTACAAAAAAAACCAAACAGTTAAGAGCACACAAAAACAGTACATCGATCACAGAAGGATGTTAAGCGGCGTAGGTGCAGATTTAAAAGACATAGTACAGATATGTTACACAACGTGCAGCAACGACAACGCTGGTGAACAGAATGTTGTGAATAGCTGAAGTCCATTGTGCACATACATGTGCTCCAAAGATGTAAATTTTGAATTATTAAAACTCAATTAGCATGATGAAAAGGAAATCTGACACTATACTTATACTGAAAAAAACCCCTTTAATTCAATCTATATCCTGCAATTAATATGTAAAAATTGGAATAATTAAGACATTTTGCCACTCTAATTTGTGGAAGATTTGGCATTTGACTTCCATCTCTATGCAACACAGTTATCATCCAGAGACACAAAATACAACTCCCTCATGAATAGCTACGCAATGAAAACGGTAAATTTGTGGTCCGTGCGATCCTATCCCACTCCCTCAGTCATTTGTTTCCATTGTTAGGACTGACATGCTTGTCAGTTTTGACCTACAGGTTATTAATAACAGCAGAAAGTAACCCTCACTTTCATTTTCTGTAGGTCAACATGCTCGAGGTCTGCAAATCTGCCACTCTGCAGCCAATCTTGACTTCTAACAAGAGCCAGGTTATTTCAGACCACTTCACAATGCACTCACTGCTCTATTTTCGATTCATCTGTCTCGACCCTAAGGTAACTGTAGAGCTGCAAATTGCGTCCTGTGTTATTTGGTTAAAATGAAATGTGCCCTTTTGTTAGAATGATGGCCTCCCATTCAGAACCCTCCTTATTTACTACATGAATTTGAAATTTGTGTTCTTATTTTACTGCACTGTAAATCTTATTTTCTCCCCCCCGTGCTTGATTCACTTTAGATCAGGCAGTGTTGAACTTGTTTGTTGTTTAGCTCAGTACTTTGGGCTCTCTGTGTCAGGAGATGATAATGCATCATTTACAGCAATGCCCGTAAAAGGTCAGACCTGCTTCCCAGAGCGCTGCTGTGCTGTTCTCATGTCATGGTGGCAGGTATTAAGACTGTGGCTTCTCTGCTGACACATTATTTGTGCAGAGCTTTGAGAAAGAGGAAACCAGAGCCACTGATCATATTTTATTGAGTATACTGTATGCGCCATATTCTCAATTGAGTTATTTTTTTCATTTTTTTTACAACACAGTTTCTTCAGAGTGGAACAGATGAACATCAGGAGAGGGAGGAAAGAGATGCAAGAGACAGATGGGGGAAAAAAATAAATCAGAGAGGGCTCTGGGAATCAAGCAGACCTGAAATGCAGAACTAGCGGATACATAAAACAAAGAAAGCAGCCGACAACGTGAATGATGAAACGCTCTCCCACAACCATAGCCAGCATCAGTAATTGTTGCTGGCCTTTGAACAGGCCATTTTTTAAAGGCATTGCAGGATCTCTGTGAGTTGCTACAATCTCTGCATCTTTAACATTAGTGAGTGGTTCATTATCCTGTGAATAGGACTCAATATAGATGCGCAATCTCTCTGTAATTTAAAGAGCATCCATCTGTTGCATGCACAATAAAGCAGTGTGTTTTTCAAACTGATTGATCAGATTTTTTTTAGAAACAATTAAAATACTTTTCTACATGAATTAGCTTCATTCTTTGTTCAGTAGTTGTACCACGTGTGTGTTTTGTTGATATCTGGTAAACCACTGAAAATCAATAGGTACCACTGCAATCATAAAGCATTATCTCATAAAAATCAATTACCACTGACATGATGGACAATTTTCATGCTCTAGTCACACAAAGTGTTTGTGCGGGTTTATGGTTTGACCGTGTTAACTTCACTGAGCCCACTTCGCACGGTGTGAACAGATGGAAATCCCACGGCAGCCTAAGACAGCAGCACCTGCCGTAAATACAAAATTAAAATTCTCAAGACAAAATCTGTCAGCTGTCCCAGGGGAACAATTAGACAACCTACAGCAGGAATGTTTCCACGCTCGGCACACCGTTCACCTTCACCAAAGAGGAGCGGAAAAGCAATAAATGCATAAATAGGAATGCATGAGGTGAAAAAGACAATGAAGAGAGGTGCATGACAATCAAAACCAATACAGGATGTCCTTGTCACACAAAAGCCGTTTTAGGGAGATTCAAGTATAATTCTGTCATTCAGCAGAATGGGCCTGTTGATGCCTACTTGTGCTGAACTCAAGGCTGAGGACTGAATACAGGAGACTCTTTGGTGCTGCTACCCATTCAGGACCAGTACGCACAGTTACAATGATTTTTTCTGAAAATTTTAAATGCTCTTGTTCAGACAAGACCGTCTGGGAGCTGCATTAGTGAAAGAGTAGAGAGAAAGCTGTCAGCTAGTGAGAGCTCAGATTTGGAGACACCTCTGGCCTGCTAACCCTCAACACGTTTTCTATGGCAGCATTGCGAATTAATCAGATGGCGGGTGTTATTGGTTCAAGCACCATTTGGGGAAGGTGTGTCCGTGTTTGTGTGTCATTTTGCTTGTGTTTCACGAAAAAGACAAGAAACACAACTTTGGTAAAAAAATAAACATTACACTTCATTCTGCAGTGGTTTGGTTTTGTATTTTGATCATTTTTGCAAAACATAGTGAGTGTGTGAGGAGCAGGTGTGTGTCTGCACAGTGTGTGTGGTTGCTTGAAGCTTTTCAAAAGACCACAAGTGTATGTATGTGTGTTACATAAAAAAAGAGGAGAACCCCCAGCAGCCCCTAAAACCTGTCCGACTGAGAGCTTAATTTATCATGCAGAGGCAGCAGCTGCAGCTCTTCCTACTTTACACACACACACACACACACACACACACACACACACAGAGGGAAAACATCTGATAACACTGCTCTCAATAGAGGAACCAATGCTCGCTACTGCTGCTGCACTGCATTTATTACATCTATAATAGAATTCATATAATTCACATATTTAGACTTTTAGAGTTAATGTAGAAATATGCTGCCACCCTTATTGGAAACAACAGGAAAAGCAACAACACTTATCATCAACTGCATTCAAACAGCACTTTTCACGGTGATGCACGAGTAATAGAGCCGATCCACTCACATCATGAAAGATAGTCAGCCCCTGTCCGGCGCTGTGCAGCGGCGGCTGTTGCTGCTGAGCCCGAAGATGCTTCTGTTTGGCCGACTGCAGGCACATAGTGATCATCTCTGTACAAGCCAGCATCTTTGAACGCGTCGGTGGCACACCTTGGTCGGGAGCTGCTCAAGTCTGAGAGGCTGAAGTTGAAATGAAGGTTTAGCTACGGAGGAGAGGCAGGCTGCAGGTGTGAGGGATGTCAAGTGAAGGCAGGGAGGCGGGGACTCAGAGACGCTCCGCAACTTTGGTGGTGCGCTGCTGACCACAGCCTCCAGCCCCTCCTGCTGGAGCCGCCGCGATTGGCTCGTTTATCTGCGTCGTGCATCTGGGTTAAAGCGTTAACTTGACCAAATGCTTCCTCATCCTCTGATAATCTTTTGTACAGGCATTTCTTCATCCGTTTGCATGAATCATAGAATGGTATAAGATTATGTAAACTATAACCCACTATATGCATAAACTGGGTCATGTGGTGCATCTCATGGTTCAGAGGTCAACATACAGTGGACCTATCATTAGGATTGAATGGAACATTTAGCCCTATGAACCCCAAATTCCATAGCTAGAAAAATAAAAATAGATAACTAATTTTAACAAGGCCAGGAACTGTAAAATTTTTTTTAAAAAAATAAAAAAAAGATGATAATAATAACAATAAAAAATTAATTTTAAAAAAGCTGGGTTTTTAACATTCCTATGGTCTGTGAATGTATCATGTGTGAGGGAGGGTTCTGTTAGCTTAAAATTGTGATACTAAACCAAAATCATTTCATTCTACATGTCTTATTCCAAAATCCACCGGAAACAAACCAGATTCTTCAAAAATAATAATATTCATAGCAGATTTAAAAAAAAATTACAAATCTGGATGCAGGTCAGAAGCAATGAGCTGTGACCTGATTAAAAATAAATAAATGAATAAAAAGAAGATAACAAGAGAGACTGAGAGCAAAATAAAACACATGCAAGATTCAAGAGATTCAAGCTTTATTTGTCACAAATGCATACACAGTACAATGTGCAGTGAAATGTATTTTGTACCAGCATCCAGTTTCAATAAAATAAAAAATAAAACAAAAATAAGTAGTAAAGAAGTATATATACTTTATATATATATACACATGTGTACATACACATAAATAATCAAATAAATAAAGCAAGTAAATGGAACACTGTTATGATACATAAGGGGCATATGTAAAAGGTGCCGGTGTGTATTGCACAGTCCGGTTTTAAAGCTCAGAGTTGAGCATTCAATAAAATGAATGCAGTATGGGCCGAAAAAGGTATACAGAGGAGCAACTTTTGGAAGATATATCCAGCATGGGGAAATATCTTTGTGTGGTTGATGCACAGAGTGGTGTGTGAAACCCCAGGATGCTAAAGGTTATGAAACTGTAAATGCGCCGAGTCAATTAGCCTTATCAGTAGCTAAGACTCATTGTTTTCACAATATA